TTTTGTTGCCTAGACCTAACCTTTGTTTTGTTGCCAGGACCTAACCTTTGTTTTGTTGCCTAAACCCAACCTTTGTTTTGTTGCAATTTGAAATAAATCTAGTGTCAAGTGTCATTCATGTTTATACAGTGATGTTTGGACAAAGAGGCAAAAATAGATTTATACTGGAAATTATGGTTTTAATCAAGAAGAAAAGACAAAGATAAAAGTACAAAATAGACAATCTTTCTATACATACACGTGGTAGGAAATGTGAAGGAAAATAAAACATACAGGTAAATGATAAAGAACAGCATGAAACAAAAGATTTCAATGTCACGTTTATAGATACTACATAGTTACTGTAAGTCCAGTTAGTTAAGAGTTACCAATACAGATACTACTGCTGAATGCATCAAGGCACATGTGTGACATGTGTACTTTGGTCAAGGAGTTTCTATTTACAGTGTCTTTCTTTAAGAAGAAAGTACATATGACATCAGTAATAAAGGCAATTAAGAGTTGAGGCAATACTGGCCTCTCCATAAGACGAAAGAACAGCCACTGGGAATATAATACAGGAGGTCATTTACAGTATTTGACAGACCAACACACACACACACACACACACACACACACACACACACACACACACACACACACACACAGACTAACATTTGCAAATGCATGCACAAAACACATTTTACATATGCACTAGCGCAAATGCAGTCGCCAACGCTCTCTCACTCTCACACACATTAGACACCATTGACTTCATAGACGCCACGTGCACCTGCTGGGCACGCTGGATAAGAGAGACACAGCATATTGTTTCAATGCCGTCACTTGCCGTTCGGAAAACTATTTACAAAACAACAAAAGAATGACACGCTTTTCAGTTACACCCATTACAGAACGCTATAGTCCAACATTTTCCTAATAATTCCTACTGGAATGAGGCAGTAGTGCAACAGCAGCGGGACTTCTGCAAAGGCAAAATCTTTAACTAACTTTTAGCACTACTGTCATTTTGCTGAATATACAAGGCCTTCTGTTGGGCAGACGATGCCCAGGGTCCAACTAAAGCAAAGAAGAAAAAAATCAGATTGAGCTCTTTCAAATTCCTTCATGGATGTAAAGCTCTAAGGCAACGCTTTTTAAGACAAAGCCGTGTAAGTGGTCAAACATGAATGTCATTGGTCTCAGTTTCATAGTAGAGTTTTAGTGTTTAGATGCAGTTTTAGAAGTTATTTTTGGCCACAAGTTTGTCAAATTTTGTTCCTAAGACTCAGCAGTCTGCATGTCTGTGTATTGGTCATCAAAAGCCTTTGAACTGGTCAAACCTAGTATGCATGAAAAATGGATTTCAACAGAAACCTCCAAACTATAATATTTAGTTTTCACTTTTTGGAATGCAAAGCCCTTTAACGTGCCCCGATAGCAGGGCAGTGAGAAGATGCTTCAACGTGACCTCTACTTCAAACGTCAGCGTACATGACGGGGGACCAGCATGTTTAGCGCCGCCTTATCGAGGTTGATTGCAGGACGACAGGAAGAGCTGCTACTAAGCACAGTTGCAAAGACGAATCTCGTGTGGAAAAAGAAATTCCCCTCCAAACAAAACACAATTCATTAGTTTCCTTAATTAGACCGTGATAAAGCCTGGAACACCAAAAACTGGTTGAAGAAAACATTCAAACCAGGCTCATCCTCAAAATAAACAGCACACAAACATCTGCATATATGATGTTCATCTAAATTCACAGGTTCAAACGTTGTCTTTTAAAAGTAGAGTCACTGTGAGGGCAGTCTCCACACCAGTCCCTTGTGTTGCTTCCACACCGTCCCATAGCCAAGTGCAGGCTATCTTAAGGCAGTTTTTCTTTGGGTGATGTCCATTAAGTGCATTAACATTATTGCTACTAGAACAATACAATGGTCCTCAGTGGTGCCACAGTGGAATGAACGCTCCTTTAGTCTCAAATATAAACAATAATATACAGTATTTAATACTAGTGGTACATCGACAGTTCATCATTGCTTTGTACATGTGTGTGTAGGTTTGTGTGTGTGTGTGTGCATCTAAGACACTAAAACAGCAGTGAAATAATATTCCTGCTCATAAAATCTTGCCTACTTTTTGGATAAACTTCATAGGAAATGCAACTCTACAGTATTTCGGCCAATGCGTGTCCTTAGAGTGAGACTTCATGAGACATCTCAGATGAAGAGTAGGGAAAAATATAGCAGACACAATTTCATCCAAATCAAAAACAACAACTATTAAATAACCTACAGAGAGGAGTTGTTGTTTTTCTGTTTTTATATCCCAGAGCTTTGGAATTTCTTATGGTTCACATTATGGAATGAACAGTGCAATAAAACAACAAGGCCTTTTTCTTTGTTTCTACAAAACCACAGTTGTCCTTTTTGTGTCTTCATTTTTCTCTCGAGTTCTTTTGTTGTCTTCTTTTAGTGGTTAAACTGCATGTAATGACATTATTAAAGCAGACAATCTCTGTGTCTTATTTTCCGTATTCTTTCTGTATGATGTGGCCACTTCTTCTATGCGTACACGCCGTCACCTGATGTCGTAGGTTCACTCTGCAAAGTGGCAGAAAGAGTGAGGAATTCATGATGTAAAGCGTCATCATTGTGAAACCTGCTGGTCCTTACGTTAAGACTACAGTTAAGGCAACAAAAACGGCTGCTGGTACATAGTGCTTCAAGACAAATCAGAGCTGGACTGAATTCTGTCTGCTCCTACACGGTATGTGGTCACAGAGCTGTGCCGCTGGACCTCTGGACACACACAAAAATCCAACGTCAGTCAGGAGACATGAAAGGTATTAAAAGTCATCTAGTATTGCTCTTTGGTGAGGTTTCGGAAGGTTTCCCAGCTGCAGGTAGTTCTGCCGGCTTCAGCTGAGTAGTAACCAGCATTGACGTGCTCATACTGCAGGTCTGAGGCTCAGCATTGTGTGTTAGTGGATGTGCATGAGTGTGGATAAGGCAGATGGGTGGGGCTCAGTGGAATTACAAACACGCCCCCTCCGTTATGGTCGTGTGACAATGCAGAAGATCCGAGGCTACGAGTGGGGTCCAAATCCTGAAAGGGAGTTCTGTGAGGCAATTGGTCGGATTCTTCTACATGGAGTTGCTGTCATGCTCCATCGGCTCATCAGGGAGGCTGGAGGAGGAGTGGGGGGGGGACAGACATGAGCTGAGAGCTTGTGGGGGGAAACATGAAGGGTGATTTTGTATGTGTGTGTGTGTGTGTGTGTGTGTGTGTGTGCTTCACCTATTGTTGGAAAGGACTCCCACGGAGAGCGAGGCCAGAGCGTTGACAGCGTCGGTTTCCTCACATTCTCTTCTCTGCGCAGCCAGACAGGACAGACCCACTGATCCGCTGTGAGCCTTCACACTCTGCCAGTACTGACCTGCAACACCCACATACATACATACCGGTTACTGGTGTTCTCGACACTATAGCGCGAGGAATCTCGTCTCATCTTGGCAGGAGCTACAGAGCCACTTTAAACTACAATATTTTATAAGCATGGACTACTTTAAAAAACAGGATTAAGGACTATTTAACCAGTTAATGAGCAACACTGCGTTTGATTTAATTTGCTGTTCCTTTTAAGTCTGTTGCTCGTTTCTTTTATGTGACATTTCTTATGTTCGTTTAAACTTTTTGCTGTTTCATTTTAAGTCTGTTGTTTGTGCTTTTATGTGAAACGTTTATGCTGCCATCTTGGCTTTGAAATAGAAGTTTTAAATCCCAATGGGAATATCGTGGTATAATGACGGTTCAATAAAAATAAATTTAAAAGAAGATTTATGTATGTGGGTATGTCATTTGCATATCTCGAGAACCGCTCCTCCGATCTACTTCTCACTTGGCGGGTATAGTGCTGGGGATCCCATGGAGTGCGGTGCAATTTGGACAATAATGAACAAACAAAAGTGCTCTCCGAAACAGTTGACTTGGTCAAGCATGTCATCCTCAGCTGGCTATTACAGCTCATTGACTGCAATTTACTTTAGCTGCTGCATGCTGGATACACTGACGTTACAACACAACTCGTCTTAACTTCCCTGGAGTCAACGAGCGATGAGCTGTTCTCTAGAACGCAACAAGCAATCGGCCTGCTCCTAGCAGGCATGTGTTCCAAACGGGTACGACCACAACCGATGCTGCAAAACGGGCACATGCTCTAAACTGCCACTGCACTCTTCATGCATCGAGTAAATTGATCCTGTTCTGATTTCGGTACCATGTGCCGGGGCCACGTGTTGATTACATTAGGAAGCAGGAGGAGCCCGGGGAGGAAGAGAAGGAACATGATACTCAGGGGACATTTACAGGATTAACTAAAGGTAAAAATGTTCACTAAAAAACAATAGTTGAATCAAATATGAGCACTGCTCACTTTGTATCTGTATGACGGCCTGCAGGGAGCGGACAGCATTAGCGTTGGGCTTCTGGAGGAGGACTTCTTCTGGCAGTGGGTCCTACAGGACAGAGAAGCAGCCATAAAGACAATCAACATCATTCTAGCGTAAAAATGTTTGGTTTAGAAGTGACTGAAGAGATCTGGTAAAAGGTGCTCAGCATTACATTGTAATCAGGACCAACTTTATACCCACAGCAAAGCAACAACAAATACTTTTATTCAATTTCAATTCAATTCAATTTATTCAAAGAACTCCATTACCCATTATGCCTCACCTGTATGTCCAGGAGTGCACTGACACAGGCTTCAGATGCGTCGCAGATAGCAGTGAGGTCGTGACCTCCCTCGAGGGACAAAACCAGACGACCCCCTGCTAGAGACATCAGCTGGCGGGTCAGATGGCTGAAACCTGTGGTCGACAAACACACGCAACACACACACAAATGTGAACACAAAGTATGAACCATGCAAAAGCCAATCAGAGTAAAAGCTGCGGGACCACTTTTCTGTAAGTCTTACCAAGATGAGCTTTGCTATACTTTCCAATCAAAACAACAAATGTATATTTTTACCTTGTGGATTCTCCCGCAGCAACATACCAACTAGTAATTTACTATAATTATGGTGATGCAGCGAGGTACGGTAGAAGGCACAACTCCTTCTCTTTGGTCCATGCATGACAGGAGCTGTAATAATCTATTAATATCTCTAAATACCCACAGGATCATAAAGTAGAGTTCTTATTGGCATACACTGGTTGAAAGGAGACCCTGAGGGAGAGACTGGAGGACAGACTGTGCAGTCCGCGGTGGAGCACCGTGCTTACATTTGGCGGAGACCTTGTACCCTCCCAGAGGAGCGGGGTTGCCCTCGGCAGCGTCAAACCCGGCCGACACCAGTACGAAGTCCGGAGAGAACTCCTGGGCGATGGGCATCACCACAGACCTGTAGGGACACGAACACACAGGCCACTGAAAATCCATGGCACTGGGAAGTTGTCTGTGTTGTTGCAGTTCCTACTGGTTGGCAGCAGAGGTTGATGCAAGTCATTTATTCAAATCAAATCTGCACGTCAACACACGGTGCATGATTTTGCACTTGAACAGCCGGCTGTAGCCCACATCTCAGCTGATTCACGGGTTAATAACTTACTGATAGACAGACGTTCATTTGCATTTATTTCATCAGTTTGCTCATAAAGGCTGCCACAAATATTCAGCAAAATGTAGCCGTCTCCAAATCAAACCGTGCATTTCCAAACTGGGCAGTCTCCTGGAGATGACAGATGTACATGATCACATCTAAAAAAAAAAGTCATTAACATGACAAGTGTAACCAAGGCTGATTCCAGACTCTGCAGCTCAAACAGAGCTGACAAAGGACTATTGTTTCTGCGCTGGACGAGCAGCTTTGAGTAATACAAGTCTGCTTGACGAAGTCAAATTGTTTTGTCAGCTCTTATGCTGTAGCTGCTCAGTGTTGTTTGTGCACTTCAAGCAGATGAAGGTTTCCTTAATGCTATTGTTGTTAGGAAGAGAGAGCGGTGCTGTCCCGAGGCGGAGGGAGGCTCAACTCTGCCGCACGATGCTGTCGGCTGAGTTCAAAGCCGGAGTGTGTGAGTCTGTTTCCCATTAGAGGCTTGTCACTCTCCTCACGTCATTGACAACACAGAGGAAAAGAGGAAAAACAGTCCATCTGGGATCCATTTACCTTCATTATTCTGCCTAGGGACTTAGGAGACCTCCCTCCCCTCCCCTCCTCTCGCTCTCTCTCACACACACACGCACACACGTATATATATATATATATCCGAGCGCACACGCACACATCCAAACACATACTGCTGTCATGACTGCATGCAGATGGACAGCATGAGCTCATAGACAAAAATGAGGACACGAAGAGATAAAACACACAAACACATTCCAGCACACACACGCAAATACACGACACAAAGACGCACGCGAGGAGGAAGTTTCACACACACGTACGCAAACCCCCGCAGCAAAAAATTATCTTCCCGTGTCAGCCTGCTGGTGGTGTAGTGAAGTTTTGAGTCGCTGAATAATTTCAATCCATAAAAGCTTTATCATAGTAACGTGGATGTGTAGCAGAGCGTGCACAAACGTCCCCACAAAAAACACACACACCTAACCGCAAAACCCAAACCCGCCTCCCCTGTAGACCCATTAAAGCTGCCGCACTCCCCCTGGAGAGAGAAACTACAGACAAACTAATGGAAAGATGGAGGGAAAGAGGGAGGGCGGGGACGCTTATTAAAGATCAATCAAGGGAGGAGAGGAAGAGGGAGAATGTGTGTGTGTGTGGAGGGTGACGGTGAGGGTCGGGGGATGGAAAAGAAGGGGGGGGGGGGGGATTAAGGATAAGGTGAAAATGCAGCAAAGCTCCTTCTCTGAAGTTAAGCACTCACAAACTTTACCCATAAAATGTATTCCATTAAATGGCTTTTTTTTCCACCAGACCATTCAGCATTTGCCAATTTTATTAATTACAAAGCGGGTGCATGCTGTGTAAGCAGTGGGTGGGAGGTGGGGGCCTTTTAGATTCGGACTCCATGAAAGGAAAAATCCTCTTTACGAGTTGTGAAAGCAAAGTGCCTCCCCATTAGAGCCTAAAAAGAGATCATGTGCACCCGCAGGCTAATCGTAAAAATCATTCATAATTCCCACAAGAAATTTCCTTTCAAATCAGCTAAAACACGATCAGCTATTATTTCTCAGCAAATGCAGTGCAGTTCTGCACATTTTTGCTATTAACATGATAATTAATTGACAGCTCATTGAGACATTTTATGCGATATTGGACTATACAATTAAACTGCACTCGTTATCTGGCGTCCTGGTGGCCAAACTCTGACCATGTGATCACAACGTCCTCCGTTAAAGTCCACCTTTGTTGCATACAGGTAAAATAGATAATAAAGCGAGACTTTAGGGCAGGCTGTCTGTGATTGACAGGTCACTGCCGCTAATAGAGCCGTATACGGCGTCTCTACGTCACTCCTCCGCAGTCCGAATATGGTCACTTCAGTTCATTGGTTGCAAAAACGGCCGTAATCCAAGATAGCGACGGCGAAAAACACCGGATTTGAGGCTTCAAAATGGACTGTCGGGTGCCTCTGTGACATCACTGTGACTACCTCCACTTCTTCTATACAGTCTATGGTTGCATGTCATCCCCTCTCTCTCTTGCCACATTTCCTGTCATATGTTTCAGTCTATACTACCTAACAAAGGGGAAAAATTACCCAGAAACACAAACTTATGTCTAGTTCTTCCTCTCTCGACCATATCAAAGGCACAGATTCTGTTTTTATTAATGCATTCAGCTCAAGTTTCACCTGGAATCTGTAACCTCAACTCTCTCACATCAGATATTACAATGAGGATTATTTTCTATAACAAAGCAGACATTGATCTGGAAAGTTTTGATGTGGTGAACCGTCACCATCGGAGGCTCCAGGCAGATTAAACCAAACAGAGAACAGCTCAGAACTTCTATTAGGTCCAGATCTGAACACCAGCCCATATGATTGGCATTATGAAAGTTTTGTCATTACCATTGAACTTGGAGAGGCACGTCCCGCTTAACTTTCACCAGATCTGAGTACTTTGTAGACTGGTTCAACTCAACTTTGTCATAAAATAGTTTTCAAAACATTTCTATTTTAAAATTTGACAAAAAAAATGAATTTGATCATGGTAGGAAAGGAGATATTCTCATAGGAAAATCTGTTGCTCTGCTCTACAGAAAGGTCAGAGGTCAGGGTCATGCTACAAAGAGGCAGCTGGAGCTTGCAGGGAATCAGTGTTTTGCTGAAGAACAGAAGAAGGAAGGACAGTCCATTATTTAAATAGATCTCACATTGGTTAAGTGATGTTGTGTATTACTGGAGGTTGACGGTAATGACAGGAAGTCATTTTCTAAGTCTGAGCTAAATAGTTTCCCCTCCTGTGTTAAGAACAGTTGAAAAAGTGGTTAGACAGGATATTCTTTATTTTCTTAAAAAAGCAAATGTCATGTGTGTAACAAGTGGAAAAGCCAGGTGCCAAGTGTGTGTTGTTGTTCTACAACTATTAACACTTAAGAACAGGTGAAAAAGAAAAGTTTTGGACTCTCTAAGATCTTTGACTTTTTTTCATCCGTTTCTTAAATCATAAACACAGGAGCGACATCAGAAAGATCAGACTTGGAAATAGAATTTATTGATTTTTCACTTGCCTCTCAAGGCCGCTGTGTGCGAGTGCATGTTTTATTCTATTATGTTATTGTGCTTGTGTGCAACTGCAATCCTCCCCCCCCCCCAAAAAAAATGTCTGCGACTTTTCCAGTAACCATGCGGTTGCCACAGTTTCCTTGTGGTTCGATGCGCCAGATGACCAAAAGGCCCACACTGCTGAAACTTTATTGGTGCCAAACAACCCCCTGATAACAATTATCTAACCCACGAGCAGGAAGTAACAATCCGCATTCTGTCAAACTCAAGACCCAGAGACCGTTTTACTGTAAAGCTATTGGAAACAGGGAGCGCCAGACACATACACTCCAAATGAGAAAGATTATTAATTACGCAAGAAGTATGTCAGAGGCAATGTGAGGCGGAGCCTCTGATCAGTTTAAGTGTGTTTGTTGTGGCTCAGTGTAAAGGAAATAAGAGAAATTGTCTTATTATAACTCAACTTAACATCCTGATCCTGATCAATGAAAACTGTAGCTGGTGGCAAAACTATTGAGACTGTGAACTAACTTAGACTTTCTTTCTGTATGCCTTATCTTCTAGATTTCACAGCCAAGACACAAAGATAAACTATCAGCATTCAATTTGTACCGGGCTAACTTTCAGAGCATGCTGAAACAGAATAAAGATCTATTTTAGCTCACTTTCTCTCCAGTTTGAATTTTGTTTTTATCCATCCCGTATAAGAAGAGCTGCAGGAACAATATAAATAATTTACAGGACACCATTTATGTAAAAAGACACGTTTTGTGCGAAATCGGACGACCAGACGTGTACAACAGTCAGTAGAAAGTTCCTCTACAATTCTATGGGAAGCAACACAACATGAGGTGACAAATTAAAGAGAAAAACATGTGAGTGGAGACACATAACAAGTGCATATACTTCCATAACAGACAAGAAGTGTCAAAGCATGTATGACAATGATGTGAATCACATGCTCTATCCTCCGCAGGAACCAGATCTCAACCCGACCAAACAAGACTTTGGAGCAGCGTGGGATGGGGTTCATCCCTGCATGCCAGGGAGCATTAAAGCTGTTCTGGAGGCTCAGACACTCAATGTAGTTTCTTCCTTTAATTTGTCACCTATCTGTGTCTCTCTTCTTCTCTCGTAAACTGGTGTTGCAGTGTTTAAACAGAGCGGTAGTTGGCGCTACCTGAATGCAGAGAGGTACTCCGCATCCCCCATGGGGGGGTCCAGTCCTCCCGTCCACGCCACATTCACGTTGAAGCCCTCGCCTGCTCCAGAACCAACCTAAACCCCAAAATACACGTGTTGCATTTTAATCTTAAGTGTAAATGTCACACGTCAGCCTGTTAATACCATGTATACACAGTCAACTACAACGTGGACTGGACATCACCCACCTCAGCTGGCGACCCACTGCCAGGGAAGAAGTTTCCATCGTCGTAGCGATGAAGTGAGATGTAGAGAACGCTGGGGTCGCTGTAGAACACTTCCTGGGTGCCGTTGCCATGGTGAACATCCTAGCGACAGGATGAGGGAAGACATGATTATATTAAACATTGCAACGCCACAGAGAGATAAATTCACCATCGAGTATACTCATATGTGATACTCGTATGTACTGACTTGTGAGTATCACGTGGGTTTTCATCAATATAAAACAACAACAGTGAAAACGACAGCATGAGCTAGCGAGCTGTCTTACCCAGTCAACAATCAGGATCTTGCCGACGCTGAGCCTGTGCTGGAGCTTCTTGGCGGCTATGGCCACAGAATTGAAGTAGCAGAAACCCCTGATAGACACAGAAAGTGAGGATAAAACAGACATTTAAAGACAAGAAAGTTAGGACTTTAACTGACAAAGAGAAATGCTGAATGTCTCTCTTAGCTCGTAGCTCTTATTTATTTTTGCTGAATTGCAACACGAGTGATGTAAAGTCATGGAAATATTGAAAAGGGTCTGTGTCTGAACAGTAGCTGTACTCGGGATAAATGAGAAGACGTTGAGCGGTCCGAGCGTCGTACACGGAAAAAAAAAAATTCATCTTCCTTATTTTGTCCCTTTGTCGTCTCTCCATCACTTCATAAATATCCTCCACAGAGAGGCTGCTGACAGTGCAGCAAGAACAGGGAAACTCACTCTGGACTGACTGAGTGACACACACACACACACACACACACACACACACACACACACACACACTTACATTGGATTAGAGGGGTCTGCGTGATGCCCTGGCGGCCTGACCACAGCAAAGCCGTTCTGTGCAGAAGAAGACAACGCTATTAATTAAGTGTTTCACTGCATATGAAGAGCTTTAAAAGGAACCATTTCATAGTTACACGTGTGTATGATGTACAGCAATGTAACAAGTTTGGCACACATAAGTGAAGACACCTCTTCACAAACACACAGTTCAAAACCTGTCATTTAGAAATGTATCGACGGGTTTCTCACACAAAGAAGAGCACGAATGTTTCCTGGTTCATGTAAAGTTGGTTTATCAGAGCTGCTTCTATTTGTAGATTTAGAATTAGAGTCAACTTCTCAAAGCATTCAGTCAAACATGAGCACAAAAGGATCAAACGCGTGACTGCTGGCAATGCAAAGACAGTGGAGGCCATTCATCTATGTTGTCTCGTAAATGAGTATCATAGTATTTATTCCTTACCATATGTATAGCTTTTCTGAGGTGGAGCAGTTGTACTGTTGTGTAATGGTTGTGTACAACCACTGCTCAGTATAGACCGAGCCTCAGGGTGGTGTTTGTTGGTTTTCATATTCCACCTGCTTTGTTTTACACAATCTTGTTTTTATTTGGGGTGAAAGTGTGTCAGCTATAAATACTTTTGCCAATTATATTATCTACATAAAAAAACAACAACAATTTCATGTTTAGCCCGGACTTTAAATCATTGTGAGGAGGAAAAGGAAGTACATTTAGGCCACGATGAGACAGAAAAAAATATCCTCTGAAAGCCATTCATCTTTGAAGTGGTTTGGGCAGCGTGACGCATGATTCTTTGCCGGATGCCATTTCTAGGTTGATGCGTCTTCCTCATCCTTGCAGCTGACCGACAGCAACAAAACACTGCCAGCAGAGGACACGAAGTCGAGAAGATCACAGTAACTGAGATCACAAAGTTGTTTTTGGTTCACAACCCAGTGCCTGAAAAGCTGTGGCTCTGTGTGCACGGGTAACATTAAGACTGTAACTTCTCCCCTTCACATGATAAACCTGCATTTAGTCAATACAGGTTCTATTTGAGGAAGTGGGTTAGCACCTTATGCTTGTTAAATCATGACAGTCATAAATAATACAACTATCCTTTAACTATTTGAATAATTGTCTGCATTGTCGGCAGAATTATTTTTCGGAACAATTAATCCGTATTTTAAGTTTAAATTCTCTTCGTCACTCCAATGCCTCGAGCGGATAGTGCTTAAAGCAAGGCGAGTGACTCAAACAAGACACTGCAACAGAAATGGAATGAAAACTCGGGGATGAGGCAACAAAATGTGGTAACACAAGCGTCTTATCTGGAGGCGACGGTGTGACGTCCGGCTTTTTCTGCCGGGTTTAGTTTCTCACCTTCAGCTCTCCTTTGGCCACTCTGCAGGCCAGCTCGACAACGCTGCCCGCCGCCATGCGTGACGCCGTTGAAGTGTGCGACTCATTCCAGATGGTGTCATTATCCACCTGCCAATTTGGAAAGACACAGGACGGAGGCCAATGAACGATAGGATAAAAACAAATAGCAGAGGAAACACTTATAATATCTGTTTTATGAAGCCTGACTATGTCTATTTTCTTTCTGGGACAATAAAGGCTTTCTCCAGACATGCAGCTGTGACTGCCGAGTAGAAACGTCCACATCCATAATGCTGGTAAATTTCCTTTACTTTTGTATTCTGTGCTCTGTTTATTCACAAATGGGCATTACTGTCCATCTGGCTCGGACAATGAAAGCCGAGGCTTTTCTTTTATCCCTGGTCATGGACATGTTGTTCTGATTAGCTGTGACTTGTCATGGTCCGACACGGACTGTCAGGCAAACGTTAGCGCTGGGCCAAGCCAACTCTCTTTTCCTCTTTAATATCCTGTCTTTCTTGTCTTTTTCTCTTTCCTGCCTTGGTTGCTTTTTCTTTGAAACGATATCATCTTTCATCAGCACAGTATTGTTTAGCTTTTTTTAAGAGCTTTCTGGAATTACAGTGTGATCAAGAATACAATTTGTTTTTTGTGGGTGTGTGTGTGTGTGTGTGTTTTCTCTTACCCCTACACCCCCACAAGGTAACATCACAAACATCCTTTGAGACAGGATACCTTGGGAAACAGAAACATGTTTTTAAACATCATTCAATTACGTTTCGGCTTGTTATTCTTTTCAACATAATTCTTGTTGCAAGATGACTAACGGTAAGACGAGCCATGATCCGACCCTTTTTGAGCTGAGTTTTTGCAATGAGGCTCTTTGCAGAACGGGGGTCGATTTTGTGCGAAACATATTAGCATTACCTAATTTAAATATGTGTCACATTGCACAGGAGCACCAAGATGCTATCTGCTAGGCAGCACCATTAGCGGTGTATCTCACCCTTAAAAGGGAGCTTTGAGAATCATTTGTTCAAGTTTGGCAGCCACAAAAGCCGCGCAATCCTTTTGTGAATTCGACCCCGAGAGTATTAATGGCGTGACTTGATTTTTGGTAATAGATCCAGTTTGTAATTTTTTTTAACTGAATCAACGTAATTCAAGGACAAAAGTATTTTTCTCAGAACTGTAAAACTTGAGTTCATGATGTAGCTGTAGCTCTGTTATTGAGAAGAATTGGACATCTGGAACATCTGTTTGGTATTGATGTTCCTGATCATATTTACTGTGCAAAGTAATGTCTTTCATGTTCACTGTTAAATCAATTGAAAGTGTTTTGAAACAACAGATTTGAGAATACGTGGCATACCGGCCAGTTTGCGGTTATCCAGTTTGAGTCTGTTGAGCGGGTTGGTGCCGTAGAGCAACACATGGCGCTCGGTGTGGACCGACTGCAGCTCCTCCATAGTGGCTTTACGACCGCGGATAGTCTGTCCGAACAGAACATGACAATACATATAGGCATCACATGGACAATGTACAGCATGTCATGATTAATAATGTTAAAAACAGAGAAAGCGATACTGTGCTCCAACAGAATCTAATGTACCTGTAAACTCAACCTCTATGTTCAGACAGACACATACAATGTAATTTCTGTTGCCTTACGTACCTCACACTGTCCCCTCAGGCCTCTCTCCTGTAGTCTGGACCAGATGCTCTGTATCCTCCCAGCATGCTCTGGGTGACTGCTGTTGTCTCCACATGTACACTGGTGCTTCAGCATCTGAGAATCATATACCAGGCCTGCATGCACACACGCAAACAAAAAAACAGATTCGATATCACCATTTTGCCAAATACAATATAGAGTATATTCATACTGTTGACGCTGACCTTTGATCACTTTTCCAAACATTTACTCCAGTTGTATCAGGTGACTGCTTTATCCCCATATAATTACACTTAAACATATTTTTGGCAGACACTTCTTGTTTTCAGATTTTATTGCCACTTCTACATTTTTTATTACTTTCTAAAACAGAACATCAATAACTATTAAAAGGGACAGCTCACCCCAAAATCAAAACTACATGTCTTTCCTCTTACCTGTACTTATTTATCAAGATTGTTTTGGTGTGTGCTTGAGATGAAATAGTTCATACATGAAGCTGTGCTTTGAGCACCACAACCAGAGTTCCATATAGTCCCATTCAATTTGAGAGAAGTCAGACATCTCTACGGACGATATCTCCAAAACTCAACTGACACCGAAACAAATAGCACTACAGGAAGGAAATACGTATCTTTGTATTTTGGGGTGAACTGTCCCTTTAAGTCTGTAAGTGCTACTTCTTTAACTTTTCCCGATGAGGAGCACAGGCCAGACAGTGCCAACACTCATAAGGGTTTTGGACTGACACCTACAGAGTTCTCTGCATCTTTAAATCCAGATGTTCCCAACGGCAGTAGTGTTTTGATTGATCCATTAGTTGAGTCAAATTAGTTGTTCCTTTAAAACTGCACTGTTTTAGACTTAAACTACATTAGAGCTTTTAAATTGATGTTTTAATTTAATTTGTTGTTTTTCTTTAATTCTTCTTTTTTCTCTATTCATGTTTTAAGATAGCCAAGAGGTGCAGAGCTTCTTCATTTTGGTTTGTTCATGAGTAGGACCTTCCTTCACTTGTAAGCGTGACATTTACCTCTGCTGGTCAGAGCATGGTGCTAAATACTGGGAATTAAATGAAATATCGTTTTGGTTCCAATATTATTAGTGACATGACTGTAAATTTGGAATAGAGGTGGTCAACGACATGCAACAATGTTTCCCCAGCCGGCTTCAAACCAGGGATGTTTCTTTTATACAATATGGTCAGCGTTTTAACCCCTAAGCCTCGGGGGCACCCTGAATTTGAAATATCATTAAGAAACTGATCATACATACCTATTATAATACTGTACGAACATATCTGACTCACCAGTGGTGAAGCGTGGTTTGCTGCTGCTATCTTGTGCGGCCAGGTTCAGGGGGTTCTCAGGCAGAGTGAGAGAGGTGGAGGCTGGGGAGGACTGTGTACGTGACAGGGGCCGATGGACTCCCAGCCCACTACCAACCCCGCCGTTGCCCCGCAACATGGGTACTGCCAGGGTCTCCATTTGTCGATGCAGCTGCTGCAGCTGCTTCTGCTGCTCCCATAGCAACGACTGCAAGAAGGGTGAGAGTGAAAGAGATGAAACATAGTCGACATAATTCTAAATAAATATCTTAAACATGAAAGAAGACAGAGTGAAGAGAAAAAAAGAGCAGGAGCTGTAAACAGCACAGGGTCTTTTTCTAAACCACGGAAAACATCAGTGAATATCAGTGCTTGTTCAGTGCCATTGCTACACATGTGGTATGCAGCTGCACATCCCTCTAAAACCCTCCAAGTGATTTGCGTTCAAGGCTGATAGCCACAGAACGTCCTCCAGTATAATGTCAATACAGTCTGAGATGGTTATACTTGGCTCCCCCTATCTGACCTGTACCATCAAGAGCAATCTGGGTCTGTCAGTTTTAACTTGCTTTAAATCTGGAAGTCATTTTTCACTCTAATCTCTTCCTTTAAAATCCCCTAAAACCTGACTCGTAGACTCCTGATTATGTGGTTTGACTAGTGACTGACACATTTTCTGAGAGTGACCCCTCAACGTACAGTGAATACACCCTGTAACCGTATCATGCTAAAATAACTACCTTGATAGAATGAGTACTTGTCAAACCTCAAAACCATGCAACGGCAACTAGCCTTACATGCAAGTGTTAGGCCGCCCCCTACAGGACTGTTGGACGAAGAACAGCGGTGTGGTTTAATTCCATCTACCTGCTTCCTCTCTGTGTGTATCTCATGTGTGGAAGTGTGTTTCCAACCTGGTTGAGTATGAGTGCATGTTGCAGGTTAAGTTGCTCTTCGTGGCTCTTGGATGCCGTCGGCTCCGCCTCCCTCAGTGACTCCGCCCTCACTCCGCTCTGGTAGGTTAGCTCTGTGGGCGACATCCCGCCACCGTCCTCTGAGTCCATGTCCTCAGAGGGGATCTGGTGCAGTCTGGGCTTCTCGTTCGACTTAGACATCAGCTGCACAGGCACATACAGGCACATACACGCACATTGAAGTTGGCAAAAAAACACACCATGTAGACAAATATACACGTATTCATTTGCATGACAGCAGATTGACAAATGCACATACAGAAATGCAGATGTAGGCTACTGTTTACTGAAACCTTTTACTCTAAAATCCCTGAATCAGTTACCACCACATAGTACCCCATGCTCAAGTAGATTTTAAAGAAGGGGGATATGTGACCATTAGCACAACAAACAAATCTCCCTCGGGGACAATACAGACTGTCTATGTATTACTGTGTGACTGCACTTCTCCAAACCTTGCCCAGGTGAGTTTGCTGTTTGAGCCTCTCCAGTAGTTGCGTGTTGTGCTGCTGTTGGAGGAGATGTGTGTGAAGGGTCCGCGTGCTCTGGGGGAGGGGCTCCGAGCGTGCTCTGCTCAGGGGCTTGTGAGGATGAGCTCCTCCAGGGGCGAGGTGGTCTAACTGGGGGGCAAACTGTAGCTGGACGGGCTCTAAGCCTGGAACTGGTCAGAGACGGAGACACGAGGGAGCGGAACAATAATGAGTTTCTGTGAGCAGAGACAAAGTAACGTGTGTGCACACACATCATTTCTTAAACACAAATAAACACACAATAGCTACAACGATGTCAAAATTGGTTGAATCATTTCTAATTTATTTTACAATATTGTTTATTTCAAATAAAACATGCTGTCTTTCGTATGTGTCACTGAATACATGCAACTTGCTTATCAATGAAAGAAAACAGTGTTATTCTAAATGTAACCAATGGATAGTGCTCTAACATCTCAGACAGTCAAATTAAAACACTTTATACGTGTCCTTTTGTGACTATTTGGTAACATCTTGGATATATATATATTTTTTTTTTCATCGTCCTAAATTGTGGAGCTTTTGGCCCTACATGTGTGCACATGTGTTGGGTTTGTAAATGCATGTACATGTCTAAGGTATATGTGAGTGCGTGTGTGTCTCACCAGTGAGGAGCGGAGTGTGTACCAGTCTAGAGGGTTCCAGGATGATGACAGGCAGATGATGGTTCAGCTGCCCAGCCTGGTCCTCTCTGCTCAGGGGGAGGAAGACCGGTGAGCCCCCGGCTGTAACCACTGGCATCCGGCCTAATCTCAGAGAGGACTGCTCTCCGTCAGCCTGCACACAGACAGTCATTCAGTATTTACATCAACAGATAACATTCTATCTGACGTAGCATCATAGCTGGATTTCCGATGATACAAAATGATTTGTCCAGGTGACGTGATTGGAAAAACTTCGAGCCACTTTAAATTTAAATATACACAAACCTCAATGTAATAATGAAACACATCTCATTAAAGGGAAAATTCACCACCTTTTATGTGGATGTCCAATGAGTGTAAATGTAGTCAATTGAAGCAATAAATTCTTCATTGTGTGCTATATTGACAGCAAAAGGAGATCGCTCCTGCTGGCGGAGGCGAGCCTACATGTACCAGGATGCATTGCGTGGAGGGTCCCCGACACTCTGGCTCGAATAAATAAGGCTGAATATCTGAGTCAGACAAAACACGGTTAAATGTATCCTCCTCCACTCAGATTTTGAGATGCCATTGTCACAGTTTGCAATACAAGCGAAGAGAACAAATAAGTTCTGTTTCTGAGTGGCATCAGAGCACACCTCGTGGCAACACAAAGGCAGAGACTAGAACTCCAAGATGAAATGGTAGCCTACAGTTCTTCCTTCTTCTTATGCCACTGTCACGTCAAATAACAGAGCTGGATGTAGTAAGAAAAAACTATTTTACAGCCGCAAACTCTGTCAATTTAGCAAACTCTGGGAAATGTATTGCACCAATCGACTACATTTACCATCAACACTGACTGGACATCCTCATGAAAGGTGGCAAATAGCAAATTTTCCCTTTGAGTCAAGTTAGCCTGGGACTGAGTTTATGAAACCGATGTCTTATAACGAAGCTTCCATGAATAGAAAGAGATTCCTTGATAGTAGAAAGAATTTAGAAAGAAAAACGTGTCTTAAACGGAGCAGATGACTGCGTTAGACAGAACAGAACACTTCCCTCACCTGCTTCAAGGAAAAGGAAAAATGATTAAGATTAAACGGTTGTGATAGACATCTGTTGCATTTCAGTGTTTACCCTGGCGTTGGCTGGTAGTCCCAGTGTGATGGTGGGCAGAGTGGAGTGACTCTGGATGGTGAAGTTAGACAGAGTGCCATCTCTTAGCAGCAGCCTCTGGGCCTGGAAATGCCAAACACAATTAATAATGCATTTATATTCAAATCTGAATTGAATTACGTTCATATACAATACATGATTCTGGATAAGAGAAATCCCATTAAACATTTAAGACCAGTGCTGGTTGTGCATCCCATGATAATATTTCCAGAACAAATGTCACAGATGTAAATCATAACCGGTGTAGTCTAATCAAGGTAGCGTGCTGTCTTGACACCGGAGAATGATGAGTCAGACATCCACAGCAGGTGTGACCGAGGTTGACTGTTTGTGATTAAATCAATTATGCATAAACAGCTGACAAACTCAGTGCTCCCATACTCGTGTCATTGCTTTAAAGATGTCATTACTCAGCGTCTCGGCACAGCTCATGTACATGAAACATCTTCTTTTTTTTTAATCAAAGTGTGTGCGTACTTGTTTAAAATGCTAATTTTCCCCATCTCTAAAATATAAGTCTGAAAATCAAAAAGGAGGCATTTCCTTTTGCTTTAGTGTCTTCTATTTTTCTATTTAACTATTTAACTTCTATCGGGATTTCTTAATGACTGAAGCAGTTTTCTAACACAAAGGTACTGTCATTTCTCAAAACGTCTATACAAATGGACTCATTTTGTGTCAAAACATGTTTATTTATTATACTTATTATACTTAATCTTGAGCTGATGTTTTAGTTAGTTTTACTTTATCAATATTCTGAAAACATAACATATGTGTGTGTGTGTGTCCTTGCTAACCTCATGCGAGAGGCCGCCTGCAGATGGCAGTAGCCCATTCTCATTGGGCAGACTGTCATTAGGAGAACTGCAGCCGGAGACTGGAGTGCTACTGCTGCTGGGGGACGAGTCTGGTGAGAGACAAGCAGTGTGTCAGTTTAGACTATGCATCTTGACCATATTTACATTACATTTGACCATGTCAGTGAATCATTTCTTAACTCAATCACAGAAGAATGAAAACCTTTGCTTTCACTCACTGAAATGATCACACATTAAACAACAATAATGCGTTTCCACTCACTCATTTATTTGTGTGTGTGTGAGATTCTAATTACCCAGTGTGTCAGGTACTCGGTGCCTGACGGTGGCCGGGGCACTCTCTTTGCGGGTGAGCGGGCTCTTGCGGGTGTTTAGGTGTTTCTTCAGCTTGTGTTTCACCTTCAGATTGGGCTCAGACGCTAACAGTTCAGGGCAACATGGGGAATGTTACTTCATGCAATCATACGTGAATGGTTTACTACTGTAGTACGACAACAAGGATTCAACCTATTTCCATTTTCCACAGTAGGAAGCTATGTAAACTACTTTGTCTTAGTAGGAAAAGCATGTGTTGCTGAAGCAGCTAAATGGAATTCAGTCATCCTTAATATTAAATAATAAAATTAATATAATAAAATCAGACATGTCTAAATCTCTTGAATGTGAATGGACATGTGCTACACCAAAAAAACAAACAGTAGATAGTATTACAGTTAGCGAGTATGACTGATATAAGCAAACTGACCATCCACATGGACAAAACACATGACATGAAAGGGGACTGTATCCGTTTTATCTTGAATTTTTTAATGATGCTGATTCAGTCGCTGCCTCTGGTTAAAGTCAAACTGTGCCGGTGGATGTTTTACCTGCTCTGCGTAGCGGCGTCCCCTCTGAACGATCGGGAGAAGGCTGTGACGGAGACGAGACAAGAGTCTGAGAGGACGCACTGGGGTCTGGGCCCAGCTTTCTGGTAAAACACAACGCACACAAACAAGACATACAACCATTAGGGGAAATAATCATACCACATGTGGTTGATGTTTATGTGAAATCCAGATTTTAGAGTTGTCATGGAATCAAAGGGTTATTTAAAGAATTATTAGACATGTGGCATAATCAATGTGATCATGGTGCATATTTAGTGTTTTGATATTGTCATACTGTCTGTGTGTATTTTGTCTCACCTGTATGCTACAGGAGCTGCAGTCAGAGTGTTGGAGTTAGTTCTCTCCAGCGCTGCCTGTTTCTGCTTCTTGAGAATCACCTCCTGGAGTTTCTGTTTCACCACGGAACTGGCCACTGCACCTGTCAATCAATAACACAAGCAACCACTCAAAAGAAGGACTCACCAACCGCTTCATCGTAATAAAGCGGAGCAAGAAAAGACCATGCCAACAACACAGTGTGCAGGACAGAGTCAGTGACTTAATACTGTGGAGAGTTTCTGCAAATACACGTAATGCCATGCATGGCTGAGAGTACGGATGCATGCGTGTGTGATGCAGGGGAAGGTCACTGGTTTCTTTGGGAGTGTGTTTGCTGATATTTCTGTGTGTGTCCACACATGGAGGTGACAGGAGGTGCTCCGAGTGATCAAGTCAATATTGACCCAGTGACTTTATGCGCCCAGACCTAAAGCTATAATTAACACCAGATCACTTCACTTGTCAGGTTATATTTAGCCCTCGTCTCAAAGCAAACAGCTTTGAAAATGGAGTAACACTGTGTATGATCTCTTCCGGGGACTTTCCACTCTGGCCACAATTAGCAAACTGGGCCTTTAATACTTTCAAAGTTGTGGAAATAGGTTTATATAATGCTCAGTGAAAATAAAATTACAACTTAAAATGTGAACGGAAATTTGTAGTAACATGTGGGAGTGAACGTGCGTGAATTGACTCACTCTGTTGACTCTTGTCTTTGTGCTTTAGCTGCTGCAACTCCTGTTGTTTCTCGTGGTGCTCCTGCTCTCGCCTCCTCTGCTCCATATTGAACTAACCGCCCCCAACAAACACATTCATATTATAGCAACAAATACAAAGCAAATGCTTGTAATGTAAGGTCAACTTGTAAGAAAATATTATGTGCAATGTTGTTTCAAGAAGCTAGCTTAAGTTTTTTTGACAGACAAATTGTACTTGATCTCTACGTTTTATATCCTTTACCCGGATATGCTGGTGCAGCTGCTGTTGGGAGAAGGAGGTGCGGGGCTGAGAGGAGAACGGGGTGAGGAGTAAAGGCGGGTGTAGCGGGGTGAGAAGCGCTGTGTCCGAACCAGGGCGCATCCCCCGCTCTCCCACCCTGAGGTCCATGGGAAACAAGGCCGCGCACGACACCGGCACTGCCACCGAGGAGTCTGGGAAAAGAGAGGGGTGGTGAGGGGGAGGGAGGGAGAAGAAAGGGGGGTCAGTTTGCTTCATCCCCCATTAAGAGCAGTCGATTAACACAATACTCTACCCATAAAAACAATACGCACATGTAAACAAAGGCAAAATGTTTTTGAGAAAACATGTAAAAAGAAATACACCAGAATGATGTTTCATATAACAGATGCGTCTGCGTTCTTATGGTTGTCAATCCATTCAGAAACATTCAATGTCTGTGTACTTACGTTCCAATTCAAGATACTCTGACACAGTAAACTTAAGACAAGACAGTTCACTGTGTAAACTAGGTTTAAATCTACTGTATATCATAATAACCATAAACTAGCTTTAGAGTCAATTGAGGTGAACAAACATTTTGCTTTAGTTTCCTTCAGTTAGCAACCAGTAGGCTACTGTAACCTGGAAAATGATATGAAACAAACACCAGCATACATGAAACTAGTGCTGTTTCAGTTCACATGCTCTTGTACTTGCACTAAATATTTTTGTTCACACTGACAAGTATGGCAAATTGCAGTGCACTGTGATAGTACTACCATATTGTTTGCTTGATAGAAGTCATCCGTACTGTTTGTTGGGTTAACTTAGCAGTCTGCAATGATTAGCTACTGCAAATTATAATGCTGCTAGCGAGCTAGCCGGCTAGCATCGGCAGTATCTGAATTGAGACACAGCACAGGCTACCAGGTCCTGCTAGCTATACTGCAGTGGCTGCTGTCCCATCTCCTTTTTAAGCTAGCCTGTTCTACTAGCCTCTCGAAGCCAATTCATATTCTCATTAATCTTTCATTATTTTATTAATTATATTTCTACAGCTTAATCTTGACAATGGGCTTCCTGTCCATAGTTTATGATAAATGATTATCTACAAGCACCTCATCTTTTAACAAAGATAAAACAATAACTTTGTTAGCATTCAGGGTTGGCATATCCTATGAGTCTTAGACATTGGTGCACAGTCAAAGCCTCATGGGAGCTGTAGTTGGGAAAGGCTACCGCATTATCATTTTAGGGCTTTCAGACAGAATGATGGCAATATTTTTTAGTTACTTTGCTTAATTGACAGCAGAAATTAATTATGTAATATTAACATAATTAATAAATAATTTTCCCTTGGGATATTAGTGTTATTTTTATTTCTGATCAAAACTATTTTTTGTACAAAAAAAGCTCAAATCAATATCAACTATATATGTCTGTCTTACATCTCAACTAGTATCACACAGTGACAAAAAAAGTTCTGTCTTTGAACATAAACTCACACCATCTCTCCGTCTATGTGTGTCTGTCTCTTTTTTCACGCGCACACACACACACACACACACACACACACACACACACTTTGCATGCTGTTGGGGTTATTTGCATTGCATGACTGAGTCAATGGGAAAGATTGCCTCATCTGGCACTAAAAACAGGATCCAGGAAGGGAACAGCTTGGGAAAAGGCTGGGGGTGGTTTCTGTCTGTGACACACACATACGCATGCGCATTTTGCACACACGCACACACACTCAAGCATACAGATGCACTTGCAAATGCACAAAAAATGCACACTGACTCACACACTGACACAGAAATGCAGCTGTTCGCAAATACACACATCCACATGTGTCCCACCAAGCACTAACACGAACACATCTTTGGATAATACTTTAGCAAGCAACACATGTTCCCCAACATACATATTTACTCATACGCATATATAAACACACACACATACTGTAAAGACGTTTACACACATCTACATGCTGCACACTCGCACACAGCTGCACACACAAGACAGGCTTGAGCAAACACCTATTGCACAAACCTGCCTTGATGCTTCAACCAAAACTTTAAACACACACACACACACACACACACACACACACACACACACACACACA